TGGGAGAGAAGTGGAGTGTTTTGGGGGTTTTTTGGGGGGGGAGGGGGGGGGCGGGCGGAGGTTTGGGGGGGGGGGGGGGGGGGGGGGGGGGGGGCTCAGCGTCTTCTAAGGCACCTCTGAGCCCCGGTTTTCGAATAAAATACAGGGTTTTAAAATTTTCCTGGGGGGGGGGGGCTGAGTCCCCCCTGGCTCCGCCACTAAGTGGAAGAGGCTATAAGTTTAACATAAAGTGAATTTATCCTCCGGGTACCAGAAACGAAGACCAAAGAAGGGAAGAGAAAAACAAAGGCTACCATAGCCTGACTCCTCTTCCCAAGGTCTATCTCAATTCTCTTCACCTCAGAAGGACATTTTGCACTTATTTGTAAAAAATTAAGAAAGTCAAACATTTCGAGAGTAGTCGCCCATCCTTCATATTCGAAAACTCAGATTCCGTTACCCTCGCCAATATCATGAGAGCAATTATCGTATTACCTTTCCTATTAATAGAAATATCTGAATTGAACATCAAGGCTATGAAAAATAAAGTTAAATATTCGATATATTTACCTGGTGCATCTTCTTCAACAATAGTTTGTTGACCACTTTCGATTGCTGAAGTTTCATCTGCCATAACAAATCCATGAATATTATCAAGTGTAATATCATCAGTATAACTTTCACCAATTAATTGAACAATTGTATCTTCATATTGATTATCAACAACAACAAGTCGAAGAGCAGCTTCATATCGTTGTGGTCCTTGTGTTGTTTTTGGTTTAAATAAAACATCAAGTGCTATTTTTTGACCAAGTTCAAATATAGCTGAAGCAGCTGTAGCTTTTCGTGTCATATCATTAATAACAAGATGTTCAGGATGAGGATTTTCATTAGATGTTTCGATGGAAAAAACATTTTCAACATCATGTAAATAAAAATCAACCTTAAAAATAAAATAATAATAAATGTAAATTTAATTAATTAATTAATCTATCAAGATAATTTACTTTAGCAGGTAAAACACCATCATTAACTAAAAGAAGTTGTTGTGTTGCTTGTCGACCAAGTAATAATTTATTAAAAATCATCATTGCTTGTGCTTTCTTATTTCTTATAGCTGGTCGTAAAATAGTGACACGTGGTAAATGACCTTCACCATGAATTTCAAATGAAAAATTCGGTGCAACACGAGTATCTTTAGTTGATTTTGCTTGACCATCAACAATTACATCAAATATTGCTGAATAAGATTGCATAGATGTTGGAGTAAACGAAACGACAGCATAATAACTACTATATGGTGGAATTTGTGCACGATTAGCATCAAGTTCAAATGCTTCAACTATTCGTTGTCCTTTACTTGTTGGACGTAAGGCAAGAGTTATATCAACTGGTACCTGAAAAGATATGTTTTTTTTTTGTTTTAATAAATTAAATCAAATATTTTTTAGATTTTGAAAAAAAAAATACTTTTTGTGAATTTGCAATTTTAAATCGTGCTTTTGATGTTCGACTAACAATAACATTTCGAAATTGAAAACGACGTTCTTCTTCACCATAAACACCTCCAGTTACCGACTAAAATATTCTCAAAATTAAATATATCTATTTCGAAACAAGAAATACTAAGTTGAAATATAATTACATCAGCAATATTTTGAAATGACGAAAGATTTCGAACAATACGATGTTCTTCGAATATAGATGATATATCACTTGTATCAATTTGTGGTACTATTAATTCACTCTTTAATTTATATAGAAGTCCTTGTGGATATTCAGATGGATTTTTATCAGCAATCTCAATTTGAATTTCCTGAAAAAAGAAAAACGATAATAATTAAAATATTGAAACTTCATTTAATAGAAGCAAGTGATAAGGAAGCTCTCGAAAGTATCCAATTGCTTGAGATTATTACTAGTCGATCGGTCTTGATCAGTAGTAAAAACATCTGTTTTGGTTTGGTTTTCGCTTGCTAGAACTGAATCTCTCCTAGATCTAATGAGTACTTTATTCGTTTTCTGCCATCATATTTCGAATTGAAATGTTGTCCATAGATAAGCTTTATAATTACTAGAAATACTCCAAAGTTTGTTCTAGGACAAACATATTCATATCGAAATATCAGTATGTCATAGAAACATCCTTCTTTTGAAATATAGTCCAAATCAAAAAAAAAAAAAAGATCAGCTTGAAAGTCAATTACCCAGGTTCTCAGTGATTCTATGATCGTATGGCGAAAATCTAATAAAATTCTCCTAACTCAGCAAGCAAACATCGCAAATCCAAACCCAAACACTTATTTTCATTATTTGCCATGAATGATCGAATGGCAATAGTCTCAAGCGAAAAACGATTCGACCGTTGAGAATATTCTCTTGGAAGGCATTTATCGATGTGAGTATCTCACATCAGCTGTTAGTCATATGGTGTCAATTAAAATTACAAGAATACAATCGAAACGAGGTATCCTACTACTACCCCCCCCCCCCCACAAATTGAACGCCACCCTATAATAGAAAGGCACCCGGAATAGAAGGCCGCCCCGGACCGTTTGATTCTCTAGACATAATATAACGTCACCAAAAAAAGACCGATTCGCTGGGACATAATAGAAGGCCATGCCTTTTTATTCTGGGGGGG